TCAAGAGGAGATGAGGAGGGGGATACAGCCAGTATACAAAATGAGTAAATTGTAATAAAAATAACAATAAAGAAAAAAATTAAAAAGAATTAGAGGTGAGAAGTTAGCTGTCTTAATATGGGGTAATTGCTCTCCCCTAAGCAAGTCCACATATTGTAAGCCTAGGCTCATTTCTTATTTACTATTATGGAGAGAATACTTGGCTTTATTATCCTGACTTCCTGACCCCCTGCCTGATTTCATTAGGCATTTGAATATGTTCAGAAAGAAATGAATACTCTGGACAGTGTAACATACAAATGAGTTAATCAACTGCTGTGTAACAAATTTCCCCATAGATTAGCAATTTAACACAGTAAATGCTTCTTATCTCACATTATCTCTTGGGCCAAGGATTTAGAAACAACTGTGTGGATGGTTCTGCTTTGCAGATTCCTTCTCAGGCTGTTTTAAGGCTGTTGATTTGTGCTTTAATCTACAGAGTTTCTGACCAGTCGAGAGCTCCTACTTTCAAGATGGATTACAGACAGGGCTGTGGGCTGAACATCTGTTTCTCTCTGCTTGCTCTTCTCCACAGGGTTTGTTGGGTATTCGCATAACAGGTGGCCTGGCTTTGCCAAAGTCAGCATCTCAAGAGAGAGGGCAAGCAGGAAGCCTCATACAGTTTATGCTTGTCTCAGCGTCACAAATCAGCACTTCTGCACCATTCTGTTTATTGTCAGTAAATCTAATCCACACAGAAAAACTAAGCCCTATTTGTTGGGTTGTGTGTATTTGGATGCTTATATGTGTGCACATGGAGGGCAGAAGTTAACTTCAAGTATCATTCCTCAGGAGCTGTCCATCGTCTCTCACTGACCCAGGACCTACCAAACAGATTCGGTTGGGTGGCCAGCGAGTGCCAGGAAACTGTTTGGCCCCCACTCCCTACCCCTGGATTACAAGTTTAAGCCACTGTGCCAAGCATGGTACTTGAGTATTGAGGACTTTTATTTGGTCCTCATGCCTATATCTTAAGCGGTTTAGCAATTGAGTCTTCCTCCCAGTCCTACCTTCTACTTCTTACAAAGAGAAATGTCAAGCCACTGATGCAAATATTCGAAAGCTTTTTCTAACTATTGATGTATGTCCCATTGGTTTGCAGTCCCATCAGATAATGGCACTGTGCTGATTTGGGCAGTACCAGATATTCAACATTTCCAATCTCTCTCCAGTTTATGTGTGTTAGTTATGCTAGGTTAAACTGAGATACCCCAGTGATTGCAGTATACAAGGTTTTAAAGTTTAAAATTGGTAAAAAAAAAAAAAACACAACTTTATGAAAACAGTTTATTCTCAGCTTGAGGAAAACCACTCTTAAATTTAGTTAAAAACAAATGCCAGTCAGTTATTTCCTGTCAATTACATATTGGGGAGCTAGTGTGAGCTGGTCTACGTATGTCCCGTTGCAGCGAGACAGCTTCTTTGTTCTCAGGATATGCAATTTCAGTATCACTGTGGGGAAATTTCTGTTTAAACGTTCTAAGTAATGTAATCCACTGGACCACCATGAAGCTACTGACTCAATGTTTTTTCCTTATGGCTACAGCATTCATCCTCAGCAGGCAGCAGCCCATGCCATTGCTTGTTTCTTCCTTAAATTGCTGAGTACAGACTCTCAGGAAGTAGGAGAAGCCTGCCCAGCATGGAAAACTAGAGCTTGCTGGAAAACTAGAAATTTCCGCCGCACTGCTGTTCAACTGAGTTCTTTACGTTTTGGAACAGGAGCTGGTAAAAAGCTGGTTAGTGTGCTGCTTGCAGAGATTATAATGGCTCTCATTTACCTGATCTTAATCAAGCTATGGTGTCAGGGAGGAGCATTCATACACATTTGTTAAAGGTTTTCAGTCTTTCCCAAGTCCTGTTCTGGGAGTATCTATAGTGCTGACGCGATGGAGGCTTTTGGTCATCCAAACATTTCTTTTATGCTGTCAGTGAACAAAACACCATCCCTTATTTTTGCCAAAATAGAGGGCTTACTCCATTTTTTGAGAATGGATCTGCAGTATCAAGTTCTGTATGTTTTGCACTATTTTCCTACTCAGAAAAGAAACAGTAATGTCAGTGGGATAAGTGGAAACTACTTTAATTTATCAAAAAGGCCACAATTTTATATAGTGTAATACAGATTATAATATTATATATGGTATATAATATAAAGACACATTGGGGGAGAAAAAAAGTCCATTTTTGAAGTGTTATAACTTTTTTTAGAATAACATTTCATCTCATTTATTGGTTTCCTAAATGTTGTTTGGTAATTAGTTTTGATTTTGTAGATTATACAGAAATTAAGTTTTGAGCACAGTGTGAATGATGATTTTGAGATTTCCAGTTTTCGTATTTGAGGTTCAACATGTGTGAAAGTACATATGAAAGAACATGTTATTGTTGCTTTGAAAATGCTGAGTCCTATCAGTAACCTCACAGAGCCCTGTAGAAGTCAGGGCAGGGCTCACACCTGCTATATGCTAGCATGGGGGCAAAGATGCAGGAGGATCAAGGAAAAAGTCATGGGGAATTGGAGGTCAATCGTGGATGAAACCTTGTCCCACAACATCAACCAAACAAAAATTATCCTAAAGGACAGTTGTGAAATTTCAACCTTAAAAGAGGTCATTGAATACAGTTTGTGTGCATGAGTATATGTGTGTGCAAACACAAGGTGCACATTAACCCTGGGATGTGCGATGTAGTTTTCTTATCAACCTTGGTGTCATTCGTGTGTGTTTTATATGTATATATGGGATTTGACTTTGTCTGTGTATGTGTTTGGGTAACTATGTATATGTATATACACACATATGTGTGCCTATTAAATGTCAGTGTGTCTGTGCATATTCAGTGGGAATAATGCCAACACTGAGCTATGTGACCGTGTACTCAGCACCCTGAATGACTTAAATGCTTAGGAGATTAGTCTAGCACAGGCTCTGGGCATTTCTGTTGTGGCTTTTTCAGAGAGAATTGGATCTTGGGGAGTTTCCCAACATGAACAGATTAATTCACTGATAGAATCGCAATCTGAATAGATTAGATAGAGGTGTTGGGTCATCTTCCTGTTTTTAGCAGCGGGGCAGTGTGGGTATGTCCTTGGAAGTTGTATTTTGCCCGGCTGACACTCTCTTGCTGTTTCTCTGTGCCATGGGGTGATTACACCTGGCACAAGCCCAGAATCAGTGTGGCTAGCCTCAGTAAAGGGAACCATTGAAACCAAGAGCCAAAATTAGAACTTACTAATTTAAGTTGTTTATATTAGTCATCCTGTCAAAAGAACATTAAACTTGACTAACAGCATACATAAACAGTATAGAAAATTCCCAAATGCCAGAAAATAAGAAATTGGCATTTTTGTTTGTTTGATTCATTTTGTTTTTAAGAAGATTCTTCAGTTATGGGTATAAATGTCTTACCTGGAGAAATTCTTAGTTTTGGAAATCTCAAGTTCAAGAAATAATTGAGAAAAAAAATGGCAAAAGGTAAGGTAGAGAACAAAAATGATAACAGAAGAAAGCCACTGAAATCAAGTGGATAATGTTACACTGGCAGTTGGCAAAGCCTGTGCCTCAAAGGTCCTTGTGCCTTCAGATCACTGGTGAAACCAGGAATGTTAACCACATAGGGGCTTTTTCTCAATGGAGGAGATAAAAATACGTATTTTCCTGCCCAGGAGGCTGGGAGGGGATTTTGTTAATGACGTGGTGAGCTTTTTTGCTATCTATAGAGTCAGACCTCAGTCAAATCCCCCCAAAATGATTATCCCAGGGCTTTTCCCTCCTGAGATTGTTATCTATCCTTCAGGAAGATGTTTCATGTGTGTTATAGCCTGTTGACTTCTATTCTCTCTTGGTCAGGGGCCACACTAGATTCTAGGCCTAAGCAATAGAACCCACCTTCACGGTCACATGTGCTTTGTAAAGGAGTTACTATGTAGTCACACCTTAAGCTTTATTGTGTACCTGGAATTGGAAGGATTGTTGCTTGGAGAACTTTTCCCAAACTGTGACATGAACTACCTGGCATTAATGATCCAGGTTGATGAAATCAATCTGAACCCGGTTTTCATTCTCATCTCTTCACGTGTTTGCTTCCCTGCCTGAACAACTTCAGGATTCTCCTCAAAAGCCCAGCAAATAAAACTAGAGAAAGCTGAGATCTTAATTTGACATTTATACAGAAATCAGCACTTTAAAATAGACACTCATTTGCATTCACTTACACTGTAATATGTATGCATCTTTCTCTCTGTACACACAGAGAGACACACACACGAACAGTATCCAATGACAATCTCCTTTTTATCCTCTTTATAAAAACATGGAACACTGATCTGTTTTAAGTAATTTCTAAATTTAAATTTTCATCATTGTCATTTACTGTCTTTTTGTGTGAGAGTTCTCATTATAGCACAGCATAGTCTCAGACTCACTAGGTATCCCAGGCTATAAGGCAGACTCTTCCTCAGCCTTCTATGTGCTGAGGGAAAAAACATGTGCTGTTACATCTAGTTTTTATTCATGCAGTTTTCATGATTGGACATAAAGGTAATAAAATGTATTAGTTGTCTAAAAAATAAATTTTAAAATATTTCTCCATCAATACATTATATCATATTATTTATGCATGTATGTGTAAACAATCATTACTAAAACAGAGCAAAGAAATACCCAACCCTTTAGATTAGATTTGTGAACAGGTGCAATAATTTTAAGGCACTATTTGCTAATTACACTAACGGAACTGAGTTTTAATACCAGTACTAAGTGTCTAATCTAATCCAATCTAATCATCCACGCCTGTTTTCTAAAGTTAACAAAACAAGAAAAAGTTCACAGAGATGTTCAACCTGAATGTGTCTTTGGTGCTAATGAAACAGTAACTTTGCTAGGATTTTAATAGGTCATAATTAATCAGCTCCTAATCAGTGAGATTTAGCCTCACCGCAGAGTCACTGCACTTACCCATGATGCTTAAGGCTGTAGCTTTTGTTAATTCTTCTTTCATTGACTCTATTACTTCTAAATTACCACCATCCAGGTTGCACCGGTTTATGGTTCCATTTCCAGAACTGATCCAATAAAGCTTATTCTCCACATAGTCTATCGACAGACCTGTAATTAAATTAAACAAATTAAACATAATAACAGCCAGTCAAATTGCAATATTCACTTACCATCTCTTGATTGAAGGGAAAATAGGTTGAAAGTTCACATTTTTTTGTCTTGGAAAATCAGACGGGGATAATAGGAAGCTAGATATTTAGTGTCTTAGCTAGCTGAGGGCATTAGACTTTTGCAGGCAACTTTACAGTAGCTACTGATAAAAGCAGTGGTGGCATTAGAAGGAATGGAGGCTCCATTTTACAGGTAAGGAAACTAATACCATGAAACCAAGAAATCTGAGTTCTCAACAAAGGCATCTGCAATTGCTAGCATGTCCCACGCAATCACAGTTCACACTGAAGCAATGTCTCTGGGCATCTGTGCCGACCACGGAACCCACTGTGCAGAAGCTTATGGACTGATGTTCAGGTGTGACAGCGAACTGTTCCTGAGCTCGACCAGGAGTCTGAGAAAGCCACAAACAATTCTTCCAAAGCAATCGAACAACAGAAAGATGACCAAGAGGAGAGACAAAAGAGTAGGTAGGATGAAATGACAGGAGTCAAGTGCTCTAAGAGGGTGAGATTTCACTGGGACAGTTCTCCACTCCCTGCGAGTCAAAGGCCAGAGGGATGGTAGGTATCAGTGTCATTCCACTCGCCAAGAACCACGCAGCTCACCTGCATAACACTTTACCTGTGGACTGTCTCTGTTTCTGGGAGAAGCAGTAAAGTTTACCCACAAAGCCACAATGAAAACCATCAGGCATTATAGATACAGTTTTTAAACATTTTTTCTGATGGCCACATCAGGTGATTTATTTTAACTACTAAGAAAGGTAGTCAGGAAAACAAACACCACCAATAATAATAATAATAATAATAATAATAATAATAATAATAATAATAA